CTTGTAAGAGGGCGAATTATCTCGGAGTTGACAACAGAGACCCTGTGTGCAACAAGAAAAGAAAAGACAAATGATTATGCTGAGTTTATACAAGTTAGTAGCTAAAAGTGCAAAAAGAATACAAAGTATTTTGCATAAAATATACTTCTAAGTAGACTAAGGTTTTCCTTCAACATTTGCCTTAAACTAAATGAAGGGTAGCTTCTCCAGCATTTGTGTGTGTTTGTGTGTATGTGAAAGAGAGATTTAGAGAGAGTGAAATACATTACATTAATTGCCAAAAGACCTATCAATGCAAGCATGGAATGCTTTGATAATATTCTAAGCTATCCCTTTGTAGCCCAAGTAGAAACAATATCACGGTGAAAAGGGGGAACCAAAAGTGTTCACAATGAGTCTCAGCCTTACAAATACACCTAGAAAATAAGACTGCCCTTGTTTAACAGAAGAATCATGCGCTTATGCTTTTAGTTTTCTTTCAAATGTTTCTCTAGATGAAGGCATCTTGTACCTTGTGGGTCCCTAGCACGTAGCATCCAAAACCCATAAAAAGAAATATAAATAAAGAATGTATTGACACAAGAATTCTTTTCAATCCTCTTAACATTTGAAGGAGAGTGAAAGCTATCCATTAAACATGGTGAAGTAAAGAAATCTGAACTGATAAGGATTTAGGAAACAGAAAAAAGTTTTACACTTCCTGCTAAAATAAATAGCAGAAATGACATATCATTCTATTTTTCCCTGATGGTAGCACTAAATTCCCAACTGGTTTATTAAATGACGAGGATAGAAGGAAAACAATTGAATGCTACTTCTGTTGGGTCCTTGGACAATAAAAGAAGATGGACTGACCTGGAGAACAACATCTAAGGAGTCAATAACTTCACGAAGTTCACCCCAAATAGGTTTTCTGTTATCCTTCTCAAATATGGCACACCCAAATAGGTTTTCTGTTATCCTTCTCAAATATGTTGTGCCAAACTTGATCCCTGAATCCATGTTCTTCACTTCCTCCACTGAAAGTAGAGGCACCATACTTCTACACAAAGGCATCTACAGAGGCTAACATCAAAAGTAAAGCACAGAATTAAATTATGTTTTGAGTTTCAGAAAGTAAGGGTAGAGTTAAGAAATTTATTCACATTAAGGATTATCAATTTTTATTAAGTAAATACTCGTAATCTGCTGCCAAGAACTAGCATGGTGTCAAGACAAAAATAAGGATTATCCACTTCAGTCCAGATGCATCCTCAAAATGCATGGTGTCAAGAAGAAAAAGTCTGGCTTGCTTAACAGATGTACTAGACAAAAATTAGCTACACAATATTCAGTTTAAAGAAGACAGTAGGAAAATAGCATGTCGGTTAGAGTATATATACCTCAGCTACTTTTAGAAGGGTAAGAACTAAGAATGACACCGTAACACCATGGCACCAAGCTGCCATTTGTTTATGATTATTAATTACAACATCAACTCTGTCCATATCCAAAATCTAAATAATTATTATTGATTTTGTTTTCTAAAGATGCTTTCAAAGCAAGCATGTCTTACCATGTCCTTAGTATATGTTGTGTCTTCATCAATATCAAAATGCTTGTTCAAAAAGGAAAAAGTTCATAAGAACTATTCTTTCCCACATTATTAGCATGTCATAGTAAATTTAGATCTGCTCTAAAAAGTGATTGAAGATCAAATGACAAAATACTTATTCAAACAAAGCTATTGCGATTGTAATTTTGCTCAAGTAAAAATTACAATTTTATTTTCAAACAGGAACGATCATTTATGATGTTTAGCAATAAGTTCAATTAAAAACATATGAATACGAAATGTACCAAAATTTATAAATCAAACTACTCTTTTGTAGTATTATCGCTATCACTAATAAGGTGCAAACAAAGATAAATAGCATTATCTCACAATTTCAGCTAAAAAAGGTCATTACAAGAAAACAAAGATGCAGATGTAGCAAAAGAAACACCAAAGGAAATAAGATAGATCCTTCCACGCAGGTTTGAAAGACAAATTACACACAAAAAAGAAACAAACATAACAGGTGCAAGCAAATGTGATTTCCTTCAGCTTTCTCGTGGTAACAGCATCCAACTCGAACTTTGCTGCCAATGGAGGAGAAGAATATATGGGACAGAAGATAATCAAATGAAAAGACAAGAGTCAGAGAGAGGTTTAGTGAGACAGAAAGGAAGAAGGAAGCAACTACTGAGTTGAATCAGAATCTGGAAAATTGAAGCTAAAAAGGCTTACATTTGCACTGCCCAATCACCAAACGAAATTTACAGAAGGTAAAAGGACATCCTTTGCATTGGATTGGTCCCATTCCAATGATTCCCAGCATTCTTTTGTATCTACCTGAATTTGTTTGAGGGAACTAGGCTGGCCTTTATCAAGCGAGGAAAGATGCAGAGGAATCCTCTTTAGCTTCCCACAACCACCAATCTCCAGACTCTTGATGGAATCACTAATCAAGACACTGGAACTGTTGCAGATGCTCGACAATTCGAGCAAAAACTTCAATTTCAACCTTTGTAAATTGGGCAGAGTGATTTTTTCTAGAGCTTCTTTTTCTTCATCAGTCGATGATGATATCAACTCCTTCATTTGGTTACAGCCTTCAACTTCAATATTCTCTAGAGATTGGAAGTAGCCAAGCAGCCATCTAGATGAGAATAGTTTCTTTAATTTTGGGCACCCACACACAATATTTGTTTTAAGAGAGAAAGAGGTGGTGGGAGGGATTGATAAACCAAGGGCTTCTTCATTAAACACGGTTTTTAGATTCCCTAAACACCAAAGCTTTAGATACTCAAGAGTTGGAAGTGGGTTGAACCCCGACCAAAAAACACTCTCTATTTTATCACAACTCCTAATTTCAACCCTTTTCATGGAATCACAGATCAAAACAGTACTAGAACCATTGTAGATGCCCTTCAATGCGGACAAACCCACCAATACCAGCATTTCTAATTTGGGTAGAGTGAGTTTTTCTAGGGCTTCTTCTCCTTCTTCATATTCGGACCATATTATCTCATCCATTTCATAACAATGCATAACCTTAATAGTCTGTAGATTCTGGAGACACCGCAACAACCTAAGCGGCAATAACTTCTTTATTTTTCCACATTCCTCAACTTTAATTTTTTGAAGAGAACAAAAAGTGCCAGCTGGCAGTGGTGCTGACTTAGTAACTGCTCCTACTTCGCCAAACACTGCATTCAAGTTATCCAAATAATAAAGGTACAGCGACTCAAGCTTTTGAAGAGGCTTTAAGCAGCTTGAGGAAACAACAAACTCCAGGCCATCACATTCATCAATGGTGCAGTGCTGCAAGTTGGTTGCAACTTGAAAGGTAGAGATGCCGTTCAAGCTTCTCACATCCTTGCAGTCCCTGATGTAGAAGCCTTGTGCATCAGATGGTAACCAATTAGGCTCCTCACATATATCAGTATGACAGCATACAATTCATTTCATAACACTTGAAAAGGTTTTGTTATAATTGTATGTATCATTTCGATTGTAACTTCCAACAAAAATTCTGTACCCATTTGAAAACTTTCTTTCAGACTTGACAAAGAGGCTCATATCTTCCACCGTAGAGAACCGGCCATCAAAAGATTCCAACTTCCTCAATCCTTGAATCTCCTCCCATTTCAATGGTATACTCCAATCTACTCCTAAATATTGAAGTTTGGAGAGATTTTGTAGCAGTCCATTAGGTATATCAGGTGATCTATCACCAAGCCAAAGATATTTTAGATTGGTTAACATGTTAAGGCCTTCAGGTAGTTCTTCTATTGATGTCCCAAAAAGGTTTAACTTTTTTAAGCCTCTAAGGTTGGATAAAAATGGTATCTCTTTTAAGGACTTACAATTCTCTAGCAGAAGTGTAGTAAGGTTCTCCAATTTGGAAACAGAACTCGGTAGCCTACCAAGGTGCTCATTGTTGGAAAGATCAAGGATCTTCAGCCCAAGCATCTGATCAAAAAAAGCTTCTGGAATTGTTATAATATTGTTATTGGACAACAACAAGGTTGTGAGCATTGGACACTTGGGAGACAACATGCTTGAAGGAATTTCTCTTATGTGATTATTCATTAAAGAAACCTTCAAAAGATCTTCTCTCCATTCATGCTCCTCTGGTAGCTCTTCCAAGGCCATGCCAGCTTTCACCATGAATTGAGGATTGATATTCAATGCCATTTCTCGAAGAAGATCATGCATACTCACCCGATCTTCTTTGTTTTTGTTTCCAACCAATTCTTGCAAACTCAACCAATCTGCTTTGTGTTTATTTTTAACCAATTCCAACATGCAATTGTCTAGCAAATTCACAAGAATAACATGGCCCTCACAAATCATTAAGTGCCGAGATCCCCTTTCATCTATTATAAATCCCTCCTCAATCCAAAACTCAATCAACTCTTCTTTTGAGATTTCGTGATCCTCAGGATACAATGCACAATATAAGAAATGCTTCTTGTATTGTTCTTCTAAGTGATCATAACTGAATTTCAAACAATCAATAATTTCTTTAGATTTGCTCAATTCTCTATCCGCAATCTCCCATGAGTAATGATCGAATTTTCCTCTCATGGTCTTTGCCACTACCCTGATAGCAAGAGGTAGACCGTTACATTTCTTCAAAATTTGTTTAAAAAATGGCTCTATATCACTTTTGAATCTTGGATGGGACAATACAGTACTTCCAACTTTATCTAAGAATAATGCCAAGGCTTCATCATCTAGAAGGGGCTTCACTTGAATCACTTCACACTCCATTGCACGAGCAACATTTTGTTGTAACCGTGTCGTGAGCACTACCTTGCAACCAGTACTACCAACTAGACTAGGGATTCCAACATCTTCTAGTGAAAAAAGGCTCCCACACATCATCAAGAATTATGACATGACTACCCTGTTGCAATTTACCTGATATCTGTCCTGCAACCTCAATTTCATCTTGTTCCTCATTCTTCAGTCCAAATCCCAATTTTCTTACAATGCTCGTTTGAAACTCGAGAATATCAAACTGTTTTTTTTGCTGGACAACAATATCAAAGTCCTTTGATGCTTTAACCCAAATAACTTTATTAAATTTGGGTTCTTTCAATAGTTGGTTGTGGACTTGCTTCATGATTGTTGTCTTGCCCACGCCACCCATTCCACAAACTGCAATTCTTGTAACCTTGTCTTCCCTCAACAGTTGCAAAATTTCTTCTTGTACATCATCCCATGCAATGCATTTTTCAACAAGCTGTGGAACTCCTTTTTTTGAGTGATCTTCTACAACCAAACTCTTACCAGCATTAGTGTATTTTTCTCCTGGGTTAAATATACCTTCATTCAGTGCTTGAGTCTTTTTATCGAGCCTTCTCGATGAGCAGATAAATGTGAAACAGCCCCCTTTGTAGACCAAATCTTCAACCTTTACAGCACTTTCTTTACGTGCTTTCTCCCGCCAAGTGTCAACTTCGTTCCTTGCCTTCTTTCCAAGCTCGTTAAGTTGCGTCTTTAATTCTGCCTCAACGTCTTTTAGCCGGTCCTCCAGCTTCTTTTGAATTGCTTCAAATTCGCGTACGTAATCCTTGGGACAGATTTGATACTCGACATATTTCCAAACTGTAGAACCAAAATCCTTCACAAAACCAATGACTGAATTTGTGATGTCCATTTGCGAGTCCCTGAAAAAATATAAATAAAATTGTTGGTAGGGTGAGATAACGTATGG